GGTGACAAAACACGGACCTGAACATGCTGAAGGGGTAATTAACAGGCCTGGATAACCAGAAAAATACGGGTAAATTTATTCAAACCTCATTTACTTTTTGTTTTATTTTAAATCAATTCCCCTCAACTTTTGATTGTGTTTAAGAAATAAATAAATATTTTATCAAGAGAATAGGACCTGAATGAGAAAATGAAAAGACCTAAATGAATCTAAATTGGATCATGAAAAGATCTGGATAGTTGATTCAACTTAGCTTACACAATCTTTACATTTTCATTCAAGAAGAAACAAAGATGTTTTGTGATAAAAATATTTAATTTTCATTAAATAGTTTAAAATTAGCACCTGTAAACGGGCATTGGCGTTTTCATCTATGACACATCATAACACAGTTAAACACAATATACTTAACAATGTAAACACAATACAATCATTATAGAACAAGCATATTAATTGTCATTTAATCACACATATACAAAATAATAACACCTATCTAAAAATGTATAATTATCCTTTAAAAACGTATTGGTCTATTTCATCAATATTACTCGTAAAAATACTTTCTTAAAAAACTTATGGGATCAAACTTGAAAATGTCTGTTGACAGATAATTTATAGTAAAATTTTCAATTTTTTTTTTTAACTGAAATGTTCCATAGTCTTTCATCCAACTATGTATTACCATTGAACGTAGGTGCTATGGTATGTGCCTGAAAGTCAGAAATTTTAGAAAAATGTGTTTGTGTTTGTAAAATGTCGGTACAAGTATTAATAATATCTGAGCAAAGTCATGTATTATTCAGTATCTTATTGTTGTGCTTGAGAGTAAGGCCACTTACCCAAGGTGTTAAATCTGAAAATTTTTGTATCGACATTATACGCTTTTTAACTGGTAGTGGGCATGTTCTTGGAGGTGAAATGAAGCCTGTGTTTGTGTGTCTGTCTTCAAAACGTAGTCGCTTTCCTGAACATGTAGTTGTATGAAGCTGTTTATGTATCCTAGGTGAGAAACTAACTGGACTGCAAGGAGAAGTAGGAATTTATGTCTCAACTGCCTCACAATCTGGAGCAGGTAGCACATCGATGTCGTTGTCATTTGCTTTATTCTTCTTCCTTTCTGACTTTTTATCTTCTCTTTTAAAATGTTTCCTAGATAACATTCTTAGATTCACAATTCTTGGTTTTCTGTCAATTTCATTTCCTGTCAACATCTTTACTGCAAGAATATCCTAGGATTGTGTTGTAGACGGTCACTGGCATATTTCCTTCGGCAAGACTGACAAGTCTGTAACGGATTATCTGTAATTATCTGTATTTGTTACAAAAACAGTTTACCATTCGATCTTTTGTTTTCTGTGTCGTCCTTCGATATTTGCTCTGTAATGCACTTTTCTCTAATATTGCCAATCTCTGCCATAACATGTTGCATTATATCGTTTGTTTTAATCATATGCTTTGGAATGGATATCTCATCTTTTGGAATACGAGGGCGTGAATACTGTAACCGACGAAAATACTTACCGATCCAAGCTAATCCACGCTTAATATCTGTTATGCAATAATTCTGTAACAAACCAATCCACTGGAAATTCTTAAAAATAGTTCAATCTTTTAATCAAAGCGTTCATACTTTCAGAAATTTCTATCCATAAATGAAATGCTTAAGAGGATGTCATGCATTTAAAACTATGAACATTTCACTGTTAACAAAACTCCCCGCAGCTCTTAAAAGGACTGGCAGACGAAATAGCCTCATAAACTACAGCTTATCTTTAGAAGATCAAACGACACAGGGGTAGTATCACCAATTCATCCTGCATGTAGATGTCAACAGACTTGAATTTTCCACACGCGCATCAATTAAATGGTAAACTTTTCGTCTGTTGTCCGTTATTTACTTGCTCTCTGATCTAGGTCAATACAGTAAGGTTATTATTAAGTACTTCTTTTTAAAGTACACATAATTTAAGGTCAACAGTTTATAACGCAATTACTGGTTGCAAAATTGAATACAAGTGCATGTTTTGTAAAACGTTTGCGCTTTTAGAGCAATTTCATTGGGTTGTGTTTTGTGAACATGGTTATTGAGCAGATGGCCAGGCAACCAGTAAAGTCCAAGTTTACAACTGCATAACCGCACAATTTGTTTTAGTTCTGATGCTCATGCATGTTATGTGTGCTTATCTTATTTGAAAATTATATGTGCTTGTATACTTATGCTTATGTGTTCTTGTCTTATCTGAAACCTTGTTGTATTGTGATGTTTTGTATATGTGTTGTAGTCGGTTGCAAGCTCATTGTTTATTGTTTTTTTTACATATGATGTGCCAACTCTAAAGCAAATTAGCTTCTTTACTAAGATATTTCCGGGCGTTTTGTCTTGTTTAGATATTCAATACTATATCTGAGACTAATATAGCAACGATTTAGTAATCTCAGATTCATCGAAGACCGATGATTTCATGCACCGTTTTGTATACATGTACTCTATTGAATATCCAAAATTAACAGAAAATAATTATTAAGTGCAATGAAAGTTTCACAATTTGTGATTAAAACTATAGACAATTTTGATTTAATATTTTGAATAATGGTACAGAAAACATCGATCAGGAGTGATCTTTTTTCTTTAGACTTCAACTGTTGGTACCTGAACATATATTAAATTCAGGAAGCTGATTCCACACATAATGTATGTGTTTTCTTGGTTCTAGAATCTGCTTGTTTGAGACTGTTTGTCAGATGGAATAGCTTAAAGGCATTTATGTTATGTCCTTGTTTTGTTAACCATGCCGAGTCTAGATAAAGCTAAACGGTTCATGTTTATTTATGTATTTATTTATTCATTTATTTATTTATGTATTTATTTATTCATTTATTTATTTATGTTCCTTTTTATACATCATTACGGATCTTCTGCGTAGCATACGTTATGCTATTGATGGTTATTTTATCATAATTGTGGTTAGCAGGTTGGTTTCACTACTCATGTTACTTTTATTGCGTTGTCTGTTGTAGATAAATGTACCGAGCCGTTGGACCATCTCAGTTATGGATAATGATTCGGCTGTTTTAGGATCCTCATAAAACATCACTATTAAAGTTGATGTTGAACGATTGCTTGGTATGTCCGGGTTTTAGTATGTTGATTTGCTGTTTTAAAGATTTAAGTTTTAAGGAAACCCAGTGATTTGTTACCTATTACTGCCACTTTGTTTGCCTTATTTCAGGTTTGACTGTACTGAAATACCAATATATTTAGCAGAGGTTACGAATTCAAGTGTATGTTTATGTAGGTTGTAGCTATGCTGAATAGGTTGGGTTTTGTTTTTGTGACGGTTTCTGAACGTGCATAGAGGGTGGCAAACTTTCTGCACGAGGTATTGGACTCAACATCCCCATCATGTTCAGACGTGGCTGTGTACATCGTGCACAACAAAACGGACGTCACACAATGATTGATTGATTGTTTGTTGCTCAACGTCCAGTGGCAAATATTTCATGCATGTTCAGGACGAGAACAACTTAACAATAAATACAATAGGTAGGTCAGGTTATAGAGATCAACTGGGTTGCAGGTCGGGAAAATTTAGACTGCCACGGGTAAATGAGGGTATATTGAATAGGGACAGAAATTAAGTCTTGCAACAGGCCAACTGCGGACCCTTCATATGTAGTGATCATATTTATATTCCCCAGTCACCATTGGGGATCGCCACACATTGGCAAGGATTTTACTGCCAGTCGAACAAAGACCAAAGTGAACATATTTCTATTCCCCAATCATCCTTTGAGTATTTATGCGTATTCATTGATAACTTAGTAATTTTGCTGTAAGTGGAATATTTTTGATATTTGGATTTTAAAGAAAGCCTTTTGCAGTTATAATATACAGTATTCATCATATAACTTGTATAAGTATAAGAAGAAAAATTGATTCAAGGATCTTTAATCGTGTTGCACTAGATACATTGTACATGTATGTTTGTTTGTTCATTGAGTTTGGAATCCAATGCCGTCTCGTTTTACTGAAAAGTTCAACCGAAGATATGCATCTTTTAATTAGTATTTAATTTCGTGGATTTTCGTAAACAAATTATTAATTAAATGAGTTCTTAAGTTTTCAGACCTTTTCTATTTATTGAGTACAAAGCTATTTGCTATAAAAGAACTTTAATTCGGATATGCCGTTTTACGCTCTTTTGGATAATTTTGTATGTTCAAGGGTTGTTAAATACGTGAATATCTATTTTGAAGTATTTATTATTCCTGAGATGTCAATGTTCGTAGTACATACAATCAACAAATTAAAAACCCACGAAAAATTTATTTTTACGGAGTTTGTAAGAAATACCTTGTTGTCCACGAACTAAGGAACCGTCAACTTTGTGAATCCATGATTTTTTCACTTTCAATTTTTTCATAACAACGTTATTGATAATTTACTTTTAGTTGTGATAAATTGATGGATTGAATGATTGAATAACTAAATGCATGAACTAACGTTGATGCCTAACGAAATAGTTAGTTGGGTTACCGGTTTAAAGGCACCTTCGACAACCATTTCAGTTATATCGTGACAGTCATTTTTTTTTGGTCGTCGGAAACTAGAGTAACAGAATAAATCTAACGATATGCCATAATTCATTGACCAATTTTATCACACCACAATGTAGGATCGAGTTTAACTCAACATGAGCGGGGATCAAACTCACCACTTAGAGGTTATACATGCAGGCACTGATTGCATACTCCACTATCATACGATCATGGCCATGACGACAAGCAGTCTTAAAGCTCTACACAAAATGAAAGACCAATTTGTAGCTACAAATGTTTCTTGTATAGCAGATCCGTTGACCTTCATTTCAACTTAAGATGCGTAAATCATTTAGATTTACGTAGCAAATAAACATAAAACTTTATAATTATATCTACCGGATACAAAAATCATGTACTTGTATCCGATGTTTTAATTTTGTTTATGTCTTTCGGTCATTTACCACTGAACTGAAAGGTGTGGATCTGTTAAATTGATACAAAAATGTATGGATTATTTTTAACTTTATTACTTTCTTGTACGACCCACTGTCATGGGAATGACGGATTATTGCAGAACAAAAAACCGGTGATTCCAATGCCGTTACTTAACAGCTTAAATGCGCCATTGGTAGCCCAACTAGATGTTACTGCAATTAACATAGAGCTGAAAGCTTATATACAACAAGAGATAGTTAATGGTGTTAAACTTGCGATGGAAGAATTGGCTGCAACCATTGTCAACACGAAAGTGGACCAGGCTACTATAAAATTAGAAGAAAGTATGCAAGAGAAGTTGACTCAAGCTAATACTGAAATCCAAGGTTAGTGATTTAAAGTGGTATAAAAAATATAATGTTTGATGTGATACATGTATTTGTATTCAACCAATACAACATAAAAAATAGAATACTCGTATACGTGTTTATAGCAAAGTAAAGGAAAATTAAGGACATAGTGTGTGGTTTCATGACACAAAATCACTACGCGTGAATGAAAAGAAAACCAAATGAAAGGAACAACAAGCAAAAACAAGTATTAGATACAGAACAAAGGTAACAAAATAAACGGCAACGGTTGTTACCGGCCAGTTTTTTTTTTGCTACCTTTGTTCTGTATCTAATACTTGTTGTGCAGGTATCTATTGTCCATGTCAATTTAAACATCTTACTTATGTTATTACATAGGGGACATCTCAAACATTTTTCAAAACTTAGTTTATTATGGCACCTTCTGTGGGAACGAAAAAAAAGGAATCTCAAAATCCATAAAAGTTTATAATTTTCTACATAAAATACATTTAAAATGTAATTATCTCTAGTTCCTGCCATGTCGTAAAACTTTACCAGGTGCACAGGTTTGTTTGTACTCAGAATATCATTTGTGATGTAAATACGGTCATATTTGCGAAAAGGTTATGATGAACCTCAAATATATGAAAGATCACAATTTAGAAGTAGATGTAGGTCGATACTATGTCCATTTTTATCAATTATATTTACGAATGAATAACATGATTATCTTTTTGTCATATTGAATAAATGATTTGTGTAGTATTGTAGTTTCGATAATAAGAAAAAGCTCAGTCGACCTAGTATTTATTATGAGAAATTGTACATATCAAATATGATTGAAAAAATATTTTTAATTCCAAGATACTCGTTATATAAAGATAGCTTGTAATGCAGTGGCTGTCATTTGTTACTGTATTTCATGTTTGATTTTCGATTGTTGTTTTGTGCATAAATCAGGATTTTTTTTTCTTTTCATTTGAATTGTTTTACAATTATTTTTGTCGGTGCCTTTTATTGCTTGCTATGCGATATGGGTTTTGCTCATTGTTGAAGGCCGTCCGGCGATCTTAAATTTCTAACATCTACGTCATTTGGTGGACAGTTGTCTCATTTGCGAGCATACCGCATATAGTTATAAAACATTAATATGTAATTTCTTAGGTCCTTTCCTTTTCTTATTCCAAATACTATTTATAAAGAAAATTACCATTAAACTCATTATATATTTTCCTTCTGCGCATGATCGCTTTATACATGCGTTCTCGATAATGCTTATATCTTAAATTAACTGTTAACGACTTATTTTCTAGACCGATTTATTTTTCGGGAGCAGAAAATCAACGTAAATATGCGAAACTTAGATCTATTTGTACAGAGCAAAATAACATTATTAGAAAAAAGCGACAATACATTGCCTCGAAATAGGATAGAAATTGATTAAACGCGAAAAAAAAAGTATCCGCGAAAATATTTTTTTTGCAGTATTTCAATTGTTAACTTTCATCGGTAGAACATGAACTAAACCACGAAACTACTGAAATTAACCATGATTATTAGTAATATATGTGCAAAATTAAGGGTTTTTTACGGAAAAATTGACGGCAATTTTATATTTTAAAGAAATATGTGAAGTAACAGACAGTAAACACATTAATTTTAATAGTTGGTAAACGAGTAAGCAACTTTTAAATTTTGACATACGCAATCATTATTCTGTGTAAAATTATTAACTACATGATACAAATTCGAATTTACTAACATATTAGATATAAAAAAATAGCTACCAGCTTGAATTCATGTTCAGAAGTTCCTTCAGCAAAAAATCAGAATGTTTATATGATGTCATTGTTTGTTATCAAAATCACTTGACGGTACACAATAATGTTCAACTGAACAAAACAGTATGTGCCTGTCCCAAGTCAGGAGCTTGTAATTCAGTGTTTGTCGTTTGTTGCTGTAGATCATATTTTTTTTTCGTTTATTATCATGACTATTTTGTACATAAATCAGGCCGTTAGTTTTCTAGTTTGAATTGTTTTACATTTGCCATTCAGGGGCCTTTTATAGCTGACTATGCGGTATTTGTTTTACTCATTGTTGAAGGCCGTATGGTGACCTATAGTTTTTAATTTATGTGTCATTTGGTGTCTTGTGGATAGTTTGTCTCATTATCATCATACCACATCTTCTTATTTTTTTTATATGACATAATCACTGTACTAAACGCTCCTCGATATGACGACGTAACTACCTGTGTTAATTACGTATGTCTATACTATTGACACAGAGGTAACCATATTACTCCTTATTACAATTCAGCTGCATATCCAGAAATGAGACACAGTTTGCTAATTTACATATTCAAAATGGCGGCGTATTAGATTTTCGTGATTTAATATTATTATACTTCTTAAGTAAAAATCTGTATTACTTGACCGGAACCATTTGCGGGGGTTGATAATTTAAATATACACCGGTTTAACACTTGTGTCAAAAATTTGAAGTTGTACGTTAAATAATTAAGGTTCCCACGATAAATTTATTTCGAAGCGAGAGCCCTGTATGTTTGTACTACAGAATATGGCAAAAATGCTCCATCGTTGGTTTTCAAGAGATTTTTTACGTTTTCAAGTGAAGTGTATTATAATTGCGGGGCCGGATTCAGGAAGAACAGAAAACACGCAATTAAACTTTTCAGAACAAAAATGCCTCAGTAAAAAAATCTAGGTTCCTAGGACAGAATAAAATTGAGTTTTCCAATAAAATGCACATAATGAAAGAGGCTTCAAGAGGATTAACGGAAAAAACAAACTTTTTAAAAGTGGATTCTGCTAGACATGGCGTAATTTGTAACAACACCGAATTCCAATGTTGACAAGACACATTAAGGCTCCATAAAGGAGAACTATTTTATTCTCAAAAAATTAAATGAATACAAAATGATTTAAAAAATAATTTTAATATAGAATATAATTCTTCAATAACAATACTGGAATCGTTTGAACATGAACTGCATATATTAAACATATGTACATATACAGAGAACATCATGAAATATATATATATCTATACTAACTTCACTGCATATAGTAAACAACAATATATATATTACTAATTTTATCTAATTTGTCTATACATACAAAGTTAAATAAGATATGTACGCAGAGTGTTGACGACAAAAGATTTTGGAAACGCCAACACCACGACTTATCGGCTTCATTACAATACTTGAGATAAAATTCTATATTTTTATATTTTTACAGAACTTTGTGTACTACTTTTGAACTGACTTGAAATGCCTTAGGCAGTAACCTTTTTATATCCTGGGGGGAAGGGGGGAAGGGTGGGGGGGGGGGGGGGAGTCTGTTGATTTTTGTTTTGGAAAAAAATAATTTGAATCATCACTGAAGAGATAGAAACAAATTTGTTTTAAGTCCATTTCCTGTCGTGTTTTCAATAGATGGTGAAAAAAAATATTTGCTTTTGATTGGCCCTGGAAAAAATTACAAGTATATTGAGTAAAGGGGGATGAATACACCCATAATTCAACTTGGTCTTTTTACTCAATTCAACCATCTCCTTATTCGTTCTAATAAGACCTTCTGACCAGTAAAACATTTCATCTTTCGACATATCTGACCGATGTTTTTTTTTCTATTTTACAATATAAACATGCATAGTTGGAATTTGCTGAATTTAAACCCAGAACAGTAAGCAAGAACTTCATATCTCCCCCAAAAGTATTTCCAAGTTAAACTTTTTTTTAGACTTGGTCTCGTACATTATTTTTTCATTTTCTTGTGAAAGTAGTTCGTTAATTTGATTAAATATTGTACCAAAACATTCTTTAAGGGTAAAATATTTCTCGTCCGAGCTTACTATTGCGAGAGTGTGCTGATTTGCACTTGACATCACCTCCTCTCCGTCATTTAAGACCGCTAGAGACAATACCAGAAAACTTGATATTCTCGACACTTTTGCGCCATCTGCGGCGAACTTGAGTTGTACTTTTTGGATCTCAGTGGAGCCATCTATATTTGTAATAGTGTCCAATAACCTATCTAATGTCTCAAAAGGATGAAGTTGTGCACCTGGATGGTGACCTGGTGTTTTAAGGATTGAAAATGTGTTATTTATGTTTTCCCTACATTGTTTAATTAAATAAGATTTCATCATGTCTTTGTTATGTACTGTAAGTTCATGATATGCCTCATCCGAGATGCAAAAGAATCAAGAAGGAAAAGAATGTTTTTAACCTTTTCTTTTTCATCATTGACCATGTCTGTATAGTTTGTGTTGTTTGTGTCATTAAGCAGATCATACGTTTTGCCATTTTTGTCGGTGCCTGTTATGTTTGAAAATGGTATGCCGAATGATTTTGCAAACCAAAGTGCTTTTTGGACACGTTCTTTTAGAATGGAAACTTTTTTTGGTGCTTGAGTGCTTTTTAAATCTGGAATAGGCTTACCTATATTCATGAACTGATTTCGAATACCTTCGATGTATGCATTTAAAATTTCATTTTTTTTTCATATTCAGACAGACAAATATTTCTCTCGTGAGCCTCTTCAGTAAGATAATTCACTTTTGCTTGAAGTCTTTGTATGTCTCCAAACAAACTCATAATTCTCTTATTTTGTGTTTGTGTTTTCAGTTTCTATCATATCACTAAGAGAACATACTTCATTTTTAAAAATGATCAAAAAAGCTTTTTCTAAGAGAAAATCATATTTACGTCTACCTTTTAATGCTGTAAATTTGTTGATGGTTTCAGAAACTTTTCGCCTTATTCTACCTTCTAAGCGATCATTGTTTTCGTTTAAAGGCAACACACCTTTTGGCAAATTCAAATTAATTAATTGTATGTTAGTTAGATTATTTAGTTGACATATTTCCGACATGTACTTTAAAGTACCCTTAGGTAAAACAATCTTAAAACATACTTTTGATTCTGACCCCGAGATTGTTTTTAGTTTCAAAACCTTCGGTATTATGTTCCAACTTAAACGGAATTTTATTTTTGTCAGCTTGAGACAAATGATCACTCATGTCTTAAATTAACTGAATAAACATGTATTAAATGATACAATAATAAGCACTTTTATGTGACTATATTTGATTTAATAATTCATTGTTATCTAAGTTGTTTTTAAATCTGTCTGTTGTAAAATCCACTTTTAAAAGCTCAATAGGCATTCTTGGTGCTTCTTTCAAACTTTCTTCACAATCAAAAACAAAGTGTTTTCTCGACCACCTTAAAACGGGACGCAATGCAATTTGAAAAACTATTTGTCGGCCTTCTCCCTTATCTGTGTATACGAGCTTGTCCCAATTTTGAGGTAAATCAAACGTTTCAAAGTCAATTCTGGTATATAAAGTATCTCTGCCTTTACTAACAATACCCTTTCCTTCAAATAAAACCCTGAAAATGTCGTGATGGAATGGAATATAGAAATGATTTGCCGTCCTTTGTGCTAATCTTGAGTGACAAGCTGATGTAAAATCGTCTCTTGTAACGGCAATGCCAGGCGGTGGAGATGAGGGGAACTTGAACTCGTGAATAATGTTATTTGGTAGATTTTGCTCGAGTTCCCATGTACAGCTGTACGCGGAATAATTCTCCCACTTCACTAGATATTCTGTTTCCTGAAATAAAACGGATGATAAACACAATGTATCAACTGAACATGTTTTAGTCTCTATACTTGAAAAATCAAAGTTTTTGGATCATTGCATATATATAATAATATATAAATATATCTTTTTATTTGGTAAGTATTGAACCTGTTTAAAAATCACTGTGGAATTTCTACATAAAAAATACACCACTTTCATTCTCCTTTTGCATTGTACTACATACTTATTGCCTTATAAAAGTTTTATTATTTAACGAATATCCAATATAATGTGTATAGAAATATTATATAATGTTTAATATATTTGACTTAATAACGTTATCTGTTAAACAGAATTAATCGACTTTGTGAAAAGGGAGGGGGGGGGGGGGGGGGCAAAATTGATAGCATAAATCTTGATCAACCAAAAAAAAAAACGCGAATTGTCTTGGTCGATTTCATTTGCATGACCATAATATTAATTATTTGGTCACATATATATATATATATATATATATGTCTTATTATTGCCAAGTTTTGGTCGCCCCCCCCCTTTTTTGAAAAAAAAAATACAAAAATGCTGAAATCAATTTGCTTTAGCGTGCATCTTTAAGATGGGAAATTCGAATTCGTAATATTATTACACATTTGGGCATTTGTTATTGTAATATATTTATGTTTGTTTTTCTTTATGTCACCGTTTTCAATCCGGTCCCCTAATGCCCCTCTCAAGCTTTCATTCATTCTAGGTCTGTAAGAAAGTCGATTTATTTCTTTAAAATGACTGGAAAGTTTTAAAATGAGTTATAGAAGAACATAATCGGGGTATCTACTTAAGATAATCATGACTTTTAGTGTGTTTTCTATTAATTGAAGACTTAAGATACCGGAAAATATATGCACTCATGGACATGTGGACATGTGGAACAAATATATGTTGGACTCATTTCGGTGAATAAACCTACCCTATCTATTTTCCTTGAAGAAATCAGTCTTTCCACTTCAAAATACCCATCTAAAAGGTTTCTTTCTGCAGGTCTATATCTTTTCTGGTATGGTATATAACTATATAACTTTGAAAAATCTAGCTTCACCTTTCGTGTCTGCATTTATAAGGTTAAACTGGGCTGTTCCGGGATGGATTCGATTTTAAAAATACCGGCCTTGAAACTTCAATCGGCAATCTTCAGGTGATTCCGCTACTCTTGAAACTTATGAATATTTATGAGCAAAACCGTAGCTCATTTCTGGCTATGTTGGGCAGTTATAAAAAAGTATGAAGGGCCATATGGGCTAAAAAAAAATTATTTTTACAATTTGTGTTCAATTGAGAGTGCGAGGACAGCTGTCAATTATTGAAATCTCTTGCCGATAGTTTATAAATGTGTATCATATTGTTTTACATTGGTTACATAACGTGTCCCTGTGTTCCTGTATCTTTTAGAATTTAAATCTAAAGATTTCATTTCTGTTCATAAACTGTTGGTTTTGTTTCGGCTTTACCCTTAGTGTGGTTCGAGTGCAATTCATTCAAAAATACACTCTTGTGCACACAATAACATTGTTAACGTCGTGAAAAATGGGAGAAAAACCCAAATCACTATGATAAATAATGTTTAAAGAATATCTAGAATTTCTACAAAACAAAACACATTATTTGCTGAACGATAATTTTTCTTGGCTTAATATATTGTAGACAAAATCGGTACAACGTACATTCAGTGGGGAAGGACCAACTGCACTGCAGATGACACCGAAACAGTATATTCAGGTTTATAAAATTAGATAATTCATCCAATCCAGTAACGATTAAATTAATAGTAGTACAATCTCAAATTAAAAAGTAGTTTCACAAACTGAAATGAATTTTATACTTGTGATGCAAATGTCTTAAATTAAGTACAAGAGATAGCAAATGCTGTTAATAAATAACATGTAAAAACTAATTAAAATAACAGTGTCGAATTGTTTCGTTAAATATAAGTATCAATACCTTTCTATTGATTCAAGCATTTGAGGAAATTAAAGACCGCGCGTGCAGAAGGACCATTGCAATAGACTACTTGTGTTTAATGATCATCTTAAAATAGATTTTACCTTAGTTAAGAAAGTATAGCATTTCAAATATTTAGATAGAAAATAATTATATACATCTTCATATCTGCATTATTTTCCAATAGGATTTGTTGGAGGTTCATCTTACACTAATTCCGGATCAGCTGTCGACCATCTTTGTCTAATCAACGATCCACAATGGGGGATTTACGATTCAAAGGTTAACAATAATCCTTTCATCGGAGGCGCATTATTTCATGTGCATGATATTAATGTTCTTAATTCTCCGTTTGACCACGAAAAGTATGACCATCATAGAGTTGCTTGTTCAGTCTGCAGGAAGAGAAAGAAATCATCTACAATTTTCATACCGGCACGAAAAGATTGTTATGGCAACTGGGTCAAAGAATATGATGGATATTTATATGCTGGTCATCCTGTTCATGCAGCAGCAACTGAATATATATGTCTAGACAAAACACCAGAAGCACTGGATAAATCACCTGACTGGACTGATAAAAAGCTGTTGTATCCCGTAAGGGTTAATTGTAACGGCGCAATACCGTGTCCACCGTTTGTAAACGGAAGAGAGGTTACATGTGTCGTTTGTTCTCGTTAAAATAAAGCACACACAATTGTTGAATTTTTTTTTGGTGTAAAACATTTGTAGAAAACGGTTTTCTTGACAGGCGAAACTATTAGATAATTTTTTATAATGCAAGTAATGATATTAATGATAATTAAAAAAAAAAACAAGGCCCAATTGGAGCTTAACGATGATCACAATACTAACTTTATGTAAAAGGAAAGCCTAGCCTTTCCAGGTAACAAAAATAATTATGTGCTATTCGCAAAAACACTTTCATGAAAAAATACTCTAGAAGAAAACAAAAGTGAGGGCTGCAGATTTCCAAATAATTAAATGAGGGATCTGTAAGTACTTTCTTTGTCCCCAAATCGAAATTTATACAGGTTCAACTTGCCGCTTTTTTTTCCTGTACCATAATCAAAAACCAGAATTCCTATTTTAATCTAAAATGAAAATATACTAAAGTTTACATATTACAAGCTTCATATATTGGCTCTCTATCAATTTAATCAATACATCTGTATGAAAAACTTTGCTGTAAAAATATATGTGTCTAATATAGAATAAGATGGCACACTATTTATATTTGTTTGTCGCAACCCGAAACAGGAATTGGTAACAATGCTGTTTATTTCTCATTAGGTTAGTTTCACAACAACTTTTTTTTACTTATTAGTAAACTTTAGAGGTAAACCATTTACACAAGCATGTTTAAACCCGCTACATTATTCATGGGCCTGTCCCAAATCTGGTGCCTGTTATTTAGTGGTTGTCGTTGGTTGATGCTTGTCCAATATCGTTTGGTACATGGGCTACATGTGTAGTCGGTATTCTATTTTGAGAGTATTATTAAAGTTATTGAGTGTTCACGTTAAATACAAACTTTTTAAAAGTACTAAAACTATACAGATCATAAGATTGACTTACCAACACACAAAGACCATAGGCAACAAATGCATAACGACATACGGATCATATTCAATCTTTAAGTTGTATTATTTTGCAAAATTGATTTTTTATTCAATGTCTTTCAGAAAATTTTCAATGTCTGGGATAATATCAGTCTTTACTAAGTGTTGACAGCCAACACAAGAAACTGGGTCAAAGTCATTTTTTTCGTATACATGTACGCTTCACACTTAACAGACTTCATAACCATTGCCATTACCTGACACAAAATCTGCTCTAACAGAATTAAAAGATGCTGAAATAAACTCAAAAAGGTTTTCCTATACCACTGACGTGTTTTCGTGGTCTAAGATTTTTTTTTATATCTGAATAGTCGTCTGAAATGTAAATATATCGATTGTGTCTTACTCCCGACTTTCACTGAGTGTGTATTTGCATGTCGGGTGACGTATAATTAGCAGAAGACGTTCACCTTCATCGCACCCCTGGCTTCGGTCCGTTTGAATCCTTTTCATCTTTGCATTGAATTGATGTTACTGTTAGTCCTCTGTATATGTATTTGTGTTATCCTTGCCATTTTCCCTCACTAGGATTATTACTGCTGTTTTGATTCAATGATAGATTGGTGTTTGCTTTGCCCCGCATCAACGCAAAAAAAAGGCTATATCGCGGCAAACAAAAGAAAATTTTAAAAATCAGACATAAAACCTTTTAATATACTAAAATTTAAGCGGAATAACATATTCAATAATAAACTTCACTAATAAGTAAGCATGATAAAAAAAAATAAGATCATTTTCAACTAATACAACAGCTTATATTTTGGAATATAATCAAAATAATTTCAAAAAATAAACAATTGATCGATCTGGAATATATTAAATAAATCAATTTACATTGAAATATTTTCTCCGAATATCGGAAAAGCCAATACATTAAATTAAGAAATGCTTGATTGTATACTTCCAATTGCAAGGTAGACATTGTGGTTTAACTTCATTTTTTTAAAAGAAACTCCGTGAGATAGTCTGACCGATGCAACATCTAGAAATTACGCACTGATCTTTCCTGCATATCACATTATTTAAATGTTTGCCTACATTTGTTTTTATTTCATGTAATTTATATAGTTTTTTTTTACTCCACTCATACATTAAAACATATTTCTAATGTTAGCTCTAAAATCGGTTTAAAAAATTTCACATTAAGATATTGGGTGGTTTTGGGCATTTTTTTCCAGAGCTTCCTGATCTACAGCTGTGTTTCCGTGAATGCCAATATGACTGGGCACTCATAGAAAAAATAACTTCTTCATTTAGAATATTGAAACTTCTAATTAGTATATATGTTTTGGTATTTTGGTAAAACTTGAAGACATGGAAATGAGTCAGACAATATAAGAAATTTTGATTAATCCGAAGAAGCAATTAACAGCAAGGCCAAAATTGTTGCCCTATCTTCTTCGTAAAGGATGGATGCAAAAGGTGATAGGCGGAGAGTTGAAGCTCGGTCTTCAAAGACAGCAGCAAAAAGATAATCGGTCCTTATTCTTCGATCCATCACGCAGTTGTAGGCAGGATTGTATGGAAATTCCCTTTGCCTGACTGCATACTGAAGAATAAGGTTAAAACGTCTGTTGGGGGGGGGGGGGGGGGGGGGTGATGGTTCGTCGGCATCTATAAACAGACTCTTAACTGGTGGGGTATTAAAGGCACCACAACAGACGATACGTGGCTATTCACATTATCGAGAATTTAAATGTAAAATTTCCCTGTGGAGCCATACACGTATCTATTGAACCTTAATCCAGACATAAGACATTACTTTTAAAATTAAATAAAATGTCGCCATTAGCAACCTCGTCAGTGTTCGAGATAACTTTTAAGATATTCAAAGCTTTCAGACATCTTGCTTTATAACATTTTGATATGAGGGAGAAAGATCAGTTTTTTGTAAAATATTAGAATATAGTTTAATTATAAGACAAGTTCTGGATCAAGATGCAACTTTTTTTTCTTCAAATATGCATCCCAACTATTTTGATGTTGAAAATTTTGTGATGGTTCGTCGGCATCTATAAACAGACTCTTAACTGGTGGGGTTTTAAAGGCACCACAACAGACGACAACGTTGGTTATTCACATTATCGAGAATTTAAATGTAAGATTTCCCTGTGGGGCCATACACGTATCTATTGAACCTTAATCCAGACATAAGACATTACTAATGATCTTTTAAAATAAAATAAAATGTCGCCATTAGCAACCTCGTCAGTGTTCGAGATAACTTTTAAGATATTCAAAGCTTTCAGACATCTTGCTTTATAACATTTTGATATGAGGGAGAAAGATCAGTTTTTTTGTCAAATATTAGAATATAGTTTAATTATAAGACAAGTTCTGGATCAAGATGCAACTTTTTTTTCTTCAAATATGCATCCCAACTATTTTGATGTCGAAAATTTAAAGCTATTTCAGGCATGGTTATAATTGCCGTTTTATATTACTCATAAGTTGGCCTCTGTAACATATTATAAAATCAACTTTAAAACGATTGTTAAAAAGAGACGTAAGATACCAAAGGGACATTGAAACTCTTAAGCCAAAAATTAACTGACAACGCCATGGCAAAATAAAAAAAAAAAAGAGAAAAAAAAAAAAAAAAACAAAGACAAACACCATGACCATTAATTACACAAACACAACGTAGAAAACTAAAGACTGAGCAACACGAACCCTACCAAAACTTGAAAAGCCGAAAATAAACAGACAACGCCATTGCAAAAAAAGAAAAAAAAAGACAAACACCATTACCATTACACATATACAACGTAGAAAACTAAAGACTGAGCAACACGAACCACACAAATAACCGGAGTTGATCTCAGGTACCCCGGAATGGTAAGCAAATTTTTCTCTACGTGTGGCACCCTTTAATTTTAGAACTGAATATTGCAACAAATAATGTACTCCCTTGAGGGACACCATGACCTGACAAACAAAAATTAGAAATTGTAGAGTTTTCTCTAACTATACAATATCTGTTAAAGAGGAAATTATATGTCATTTCAAACCCGTATCAAAGAGATCTTTTAAAATGTCACATTTCTATGTGGTCATAAGCGTTTTTAAGATCAAAGAATAACGACACCACATGTTCCTTATTCGCGAAGCAACTGCTATTGAATGACCTGAATCGAACAAGAAGATCAGGAGTAC